ATATATATATATATATATATGTACATATATATATATATATATATATATATATATATATATATATATATATATATATATATATATGTATATATATATATATATATATATATATATATATATATATATATATATATATATATATATTCACATACATATACTAATATATATTCAACTGTGTATATATACATACACATATGTACATGTAGATATATATATATATATATATATATATATATATATATATATATATATATATATATATATATATATATATATATATATGTGTGTGTGTGTGTGTGTGTGTGTGTGTGTGTGTGTGTGTGTGGTATTCATATATATATGTATAAATATGTGTATATCTATATGAATATATATATATATATATATATATATATATATATATATATATATATATATATATATATATATGTACATATATATATATATATATATATATATATATATATATATATATATATATATATATATATATACATATATATATATATATATATATATATATATATATATATATATATATATATATATATATATATATATATATTTTCACATACATATACTAATATATATTCAACTGTGTATATATACATACACATATGTACATGTAGATATATGTATATATATATATATAAATATATATATATATATATATATATATATATATATATATATATATATATATATATATATATATATATATATATATGTATGTATGTATGTATGTATGTATATATACATATATATATGTATATACATATATATATATCGTTTGTCGTTTATGCCAAGTTAATAAGGATCTTGTAAAGAAAATTAAATTTCTTTTTTTACGGAGGAAGAGCGAAAGGCGAGTAAGAAGTCAAACATCTCATGATTATGATAGATAAGAAAAACGACAGTAGTTCGAAAAATGAGCGAACATCCCGTGTTTGGAGAAGCTCGCAAAAATTATTGGCTCGTGACTCAATGGAGTGACGCTGTGGCAGGAACTCCGCGGGGGTTGGGGAGGCTGGTGGTGGGGGGGGGGGGGTAGGAATACATCCTCGTCTTTCGTCTCTCCTTCTTCTGAGGATTTTTACTCTCCCTCTCTCTCTTCCTTCCTTCTTTCATCTCTTCCTCTTCTCCTCTGTTTCAACTCCCTTTTTTTCTTTTTTTCTCTCTCTTTCTTCTTTACGTGCTCTTATTCTCTATTCTTGTCTTCACCCCAGTTATTCTTCTATACCATCCACCAACCCCATTCCAGGCTTCCTTTACCTCTCTCTCCCCATCCGTCTTCTTCTCCTATTCTCCTTCTCCCATCATTTCACCATTTCTCTCTCCCCTCTTCTCAACCCCCTCTTCCTCCTCTTTTCCACCTGTCAGCCTTTTCTCTCTCTCTCTTCTTCCCCAATTCTTCTTCTCATCCTCTCTGTGAACTCTATTCTCTACTCTATTCTCTCCCCCTCTCCCTCGTCTTTTTCTCCCATTTTTCACCCCCTCTCTTTCGTTTCCTCCTTCTATCTCCTCTTTTTCTCCCATTTCTTCACTCCCAGCCTTTCGCTCCCTTTTTCTATTCCCTCTTTCCTTCCCCTTTTTTCACTCTATTCGCCTTCCCTCCGAACCCCAACTTTTCTCCCCGCCCCATGACCCCCTTATATTCCCCCCCCCCCTCCCCCTCCCTCTTTCCATCACTCAGCCTCCTCTCCCCAACCCCCCCTCTTCTCCGTTCCCCCTCCTCTTATCACTCCACTCCATCTCCTATTTGTTTTTCCTCTCTCTTTTCCCTCCTTCCCACCTCAACCCTTCCCCTTCCCTCTTGTCCTCTTTCTATCTTCCTACTTCTTCCCTTCCCCAACCCCTCTTTCTCCTCGCTCCTTCTCTTCCTCCTTCTATCTTCTCTTTCCTTCTCCTCACTGAACCCTCTTTTCTGCTGCTCCTAGTCCTATCTTCTTATTCTTTCCCTTCCCTAACCCCCTTCCCACTCCTCCTCTTCTCACTCCTTTCCCTCCCCCTCCCTCCCTCCTTCTTCTCCTCCTTATGTCTTCCCACTCCTTCCCTTCCACTCCCTCCCCTCCCCAACTCCCCCCCCTCTCTTCGCTTCCCCTCCTCCTATCTCTCCACTTATCCTCCTCCTCCTATCTTTCCTTCTCTCTACCCTCTCCTTCCCATTTCTCCTGCTCCTCCTATCTTCCCACTCTTTCCCCTCCTCTCCCCCTCCCTCCCTCCCCCGTGTCCTCTTCCTGTCTTCCCACTCCTTCCCCTCCCTCCCCTCTCCCCTCCCTCCCACTTCTCCTCCTCCCCCTCCTTCCCCGCTTCTCCTCCTCCTCCTCCTATCTTCCTCTCCCTTCCCGTCCCTCCTCCCCTCTCCTCCCCCCCTCCCTCCCCTCTCCTCCCCCTCCTCCTATCTTCCTCTCCCTTCCCGTCCCTCCTCCCCTCCCCTCCCTCCCCCCCTCCTCCTCCTCCTCCCCCCTCCTCCCCCGCTTCTCCTCCCGCCAGCCAAAACATCTTGACTAAACAGAGTCGCGAAGAAAAGC